TTTATATCTAATACAGCGTCTCTGTGTGTTATTTGGGGCTGACGCAGCTATGGGAGCAGGCTGGAGGGAAAACTACATGTAACAAAAGACCTCAACATAAATCCAGCCACAGTGAACCTCTTAGAAGACAAAGTGGGAGGTACTCTTGAATGAATTGGTACAGGAGACCGCTTCCTGAACATAACACCAGTAGCACAGACACTGAGATCAACAATAATAAATGGGACCTCCTGAAATTGAAAACCTTCTGTAAGGAAAAGAACACAGTCAACAAGACAAAACAGCAGCCCACAGAATGAGAAAAGATATTCACCAACCCCACATCTGACAGACAGCTGATTTCCAAAATATACAAAGAACTCAAGAAGCTAGTTAGCTAAACACCAAATAATCCAATTAAAAAGTGGGGGTACAGAACTAAATAGAGAATTCTCAATTGAGGAATATAAAATGGCTGGAAGACACTTAAGAAAATTCTCAATATTCTTAGCCATCAGGGAAAAGCAAATCAAAACAACTCTGAGATACCATCTTACTCCTGTCAGAATGGCTAAGATCAAAAATACTGAGGGCAGCTTATGCTGGAGTGGAGAGGATGTTGGTGGGAATGCAAACTCGTACAGCTACTTTGGAAATCAGAATGGCAGTTCCTCAGAAAAATGGGAATCAGTCCACCTCAAGATCCAGTAATTCCACTCTTAGGCATATAACCAAAAGATGCACATTCATACAACAAGGACATCTGTTCAACTATGTTCATAGCAGCATTATTTGTGATAGCCAGAACCTGGAAGAAACTTAAATGTCCCTCAACTGAAGAATGGATGGAGAAAAAGTGGTACATTTACATAATGAAGTACTACTCAGTGGAAAAATATAATGGAATCTTGAAATTCGCAGGCAAATGGATGGAACTAGAAGAAACCATCCTGAGTGAGGTAATCCAGTCACAAAAAGACAAACACAGTATGTACTTACTCATATATGGATTTTAGACATAGAGAAAAGGATCACCAGCCAGCAATCCAAACTGCCAGAAAAGGTAGGAAACAAGGAGGACCCTAAGAGAGACATATATGGTCCCTAGGAGAAGGGGAAAGGGACAAGATCTTCTGAGCAAATTAGGAGCATGGGGGGAAGTTAGAAGGAGTTAGGGGGATGAGGAGGGGAGAGATGGTCATGATGGAGCAGAAAGATTGAGTCAGGGAAAGAATAGAGGAGAGCAAGAAAAGAGATAACATAGGTTTAAAGAGAAATCTGGCACTAGGGAAATGTCCAGAGATCTACAAAGATGACCCCAACTAACAATCTAAGCAATAGTGGAGAGGCTACCTTAAATGCCCTTCCCCTGTAATGAGAATGATGACTACCATACATGCCATGCTAGAGCCTTCATCTAGTAGCTGATGGAAGCAGAAGCAGACACCCACAGCTAAACACTGAGCCGCCTCTTGGTATCCATTTGCAGACAGGGAGGAGTGATAAGCGAAGGGGTCAAGACCAGGTTGGAGAAACCCATAGAAACTGCTGACCTGAACGAGGAGGAGCTCATGGACTCTAGTCTGATAGCTGGGAAACCAGCATAGGACTGACCCAGATTTCCTGAATGTGATGTTAGTTGGGAGGTCTGGGCAGTCTATGGGGCCTCTGGTAGCTCATCAGTATTTATCCCTAGTATATAAATGGACTTTGGGAGCCCATTCCACATAGAGGAATACTCCCTCAGCCTAGACACATGGGGAAGGGCCAAATAATATGACAGACTCTGAAGACTCCCCATGGAAGGCCTCACCCTCCCTGGGAAGCAGAAAGGGGATGGGATGGGGGTTGGTGGAGGGAAGAGGGGAGGACAAAAGCGTTCGGGAACTGGGATTGATATGGAAAATAAGCTTGTTTCAAATTTAAATAAAAAATATATAAAAATAAAAAAGAAAGAATTTAATCTTTAAAATAAGACCAAAAAAAAAAAAAAAAAAAAAGGTTTAAGATACACCCTAAGGCCTTATAAAACAAGGGAAAACCCCCCACCTCCCAAAAGCAGACAGGGAGAGATAATCAAAACTAGGGTTAAAGTGAAATAGAGACAAAGAAAACAATATAACACAAAAATTGATGAAAAGAATTGATTCCCTGAAATGATGAACAAGATTGACCAAGCTTTAGCCAAATTAAATAAGAAAGAATCCAAATAAATAAAGTTGGAGATGAAAAGTAAGGCATCATAACAGACGTCAAAGAAATTCAGAGAATACTAAGGACAAACTTTAAAAATGTATGTCCCATCAAACTGGAAAATCTAAAATAAATGAATAAATTTCTACATATATACACGTGGTCTACTAAAGCTGAATCAAGATGAAATAAATAATTTATAACTGACCAGGGCATCCAATGAAATCGAAGCATTAGTTGAAATTCTCTCAACAACAACAAAAAAGCAAAAACCTAGGGTCAGATGGTTTCAACACAATTCTACTAGACCGTCAAGAAACTATTTCCCTAAACGAATCCATAAAACAGAAGATGAAGGAACATTTCTGGTCTTTTTAAAAAGCCAATATTACACTGACAGCAAAACCAGACAAAGACTCAACAAAAAAGAAAACTGTAGGCCAGCATAAGTGATGAAGATGGGTGCAGAAATTCTCAATTTAAAAAAACCTGCAAACAGGACAGATTTGAGGTAGAAGGTTTTGTGGCTGGGTTGATGCCTCAGTCCCACTGCTGGGAGCCTTGCCTGGCTATATAGAAGGCAACCAATTCCAGCTCCCTACCCCCCATTACTAGGAGAGTACACAAAGGTCAACTCTCCCATAGATTCTAGGAGTAATAGTGGTGTAGAACTCTGTGGGAGTGGCCAACCAATGACTGGTACAACTTGAGGCCCAAACCACGAGAGGGAGCCCAGGCCTGACGCTGCCTGGATGGCCAGGAGCCAGAGGCTGGACAACCCAGAGACCCAGGATAGAATCAAACACAACCAGCAAAATAAAAAATAAAAAAAGTCAGTGAAATAATTCCTAATGATACCTGGCTATCCTTATAGATCCGTGCCTAGCCCAACTGTCATCAGAGAAACATCCAGCAAGTGATGGGAGCAGATGCAGAGATCCACAGGAAACCTACAGAAGATGAGGAGGGAAGGATTTTAGGAGCCAGAGAGTTGAGGACCCTGCAAGAACACAGCCCACAGAATCAACTAAGCATGGCTCATAGGAACTCACAGAGACTGAAGAAATAAGCACAGACCCTGTATGGCTGTGAGCTAGGCCGTCTGCATGAATGCCATAGTTGTGTAGCTGTGTGTTCTTGTAGGACTCCAAACAGTGGGAGTGAGGTGGGGGTGTCTCTGAGTCTTCTGCCTGCCCTTGGGACTTCTCCTCCTACTGACTTGCCTTGTCTAGCCTTGATATGAGGGTTTGTGCCTAGTGCCAGGCATGAAGTCCCACCCTAGCTAAGGAGCTACTGGAAACTGGCAGTTGCTGAGAGATGGAAAGTCAGTTTTCTTTAGGCCTCTGGTAGGTTGACCATGCTCCAGTAGGCTCCTATACATTCCAGAGTATGCCGACAGAGCAAATTATACTTGATGGGTTTAAAAGAAATAAAAAAGAGTACACAGCATCGTGTGGGTGGGGAAGGGGTCATAGATCTGTGAGGAGATAGGGGAGGGGTGAATATGATCAAAATCTATGATATGGAATTCTCAAAGAACTAAGACAAATGAAAACAAATTTGACTCAAGTATGAAAAATAAAGTATACACATATATACATATATATGAGAATAACAAAGATTAAAATAAGACCTAAAATTGTTAATATTGTAAGGGAATTATAACTACTTTTATTTAGCTTGTTTTTCATGCTTTCCGTTTTCCAAACTTTTTTTGTTTTATTTATTTATTTATATTTATTTGGTGTGTGTGTCGGGGGTACAGGGTTTCTCTATGTAGCCCTGACTGTCCTGGAACTTGCTTTGTAGACCAAGCTGGCCTTGAACTCACAGAGATCCACCTGCCTTGGCTTCCTGAGTGCTGGAATTAAAGGCATGTGCCACCACTTCCTGACCTTTTCAAAACTTTTTTATGAGTGTGGATTACCTTCATATTGGTAAAGAAGAAAATCATTCCAGTTATATTGCTTTGAGCAGTTGACTTGGGTATTTAAGTTCCCAGCTAGAGTTATTTAATACAATTCTAACTTTTGAAATTTCAGAGGGAATTTAGTGATGGCTTTGATTCCATCAAAGGGTGAAGAATAGAGCTAGACACTTGGATGTCAAAAGCCAGGTGGACAGAGTATTTGGAAGCAGAGCCTTACCTGAGGTCTCAAAGTCGTTCTGGTCCTGTGCTCTCTTTTAAAACAGTGGTCAGCAACAGTGATTCAAATGGGCTGGAGAGACTGCCCAAAAGGAAGTGGTATGTGGAGAAAGGCTTGCCTTGAGTACCGGTCCATTTACTTTCAGAGTCTGAAACAAGGCACTCTGTTTCGTAATATAACCGTTTAAAAATTTCCACTAAAACACGTCCTTTGAGTTTATATTTATAATTGTTATTACATTTTCAGCAGACTCACACACTAACCTGGGGGGGTTAATTTGTATTATTGACAGTTTGCTTTTCTTTCAAAGGATTTTCCCCCTTAATTGATTGGTACACACAAGAGTAAGAATATTTAATATATTTAGAGACATTTCTACTTAGAAGCATTTGAATAATTTTGAATTTATTGGTATTTAATTGATTTAAAAAAATAATTATTTTTGAATAAGTATCTGAGTAATTATTCTGAAGTTTTGCTGTGGGGGAGACACATTTAGTTGCGCTTCTGTTGGATCTTGCCTTTGAAGCCACCTTTTCACTTCGAATCTCAGGAACCCAAACTAGCCCTCCTCCTCCTTTCAGTTAAAATGTTTGCTTTGATACCTCATTCTTTCGAAGAGTAACCTAAATTCCTCCTCCTTACACTCTCAGGGTTTATGGGTAAACATCTCGACTTTACCTCCTGTAGAGCTGAGACTATTCTTAAAATGCTTGGACGTTTGGGGATTAGTTCTTCATCCGGTGGGAATGCTACACTTCTCCTCTCTTCATGTGGCTTGTCTTCCTTCTCAGGAGGTACTTGCAAATGCTGGACTTCATCTTCTTCTGTTATCTGCGTGGTGGTAATAGGGGGCAGCAGAGTGTCTTCTGGCGTTGAGCCAGGGCTTACATGAAGAGAATGCTCTGAGAGATCTTGGTCCAACACTTTCAAAACTGGTATTACCAGGCTTTCCTTATCACCTTTTTCTTTGTTCATAAACTGTAAAAAAAGCAAGAAAATAATCATTATTCACTAACAATTCATTGTGTGTTTGTCCTTTATATACTACTATTGACATTTGTAAGTTAGTAGTACATTCCTGAATAAGACATGGAGAAATCTTACACTTGCCTGAGACTATATCTACAACATGAAAAACAGTGGTTTATGCAGAAGTGGTTTGCATATGTCTGGACTGCATAAACTGGTGACATGTTAAGGAAATCTGGGGACTGGACTGGTGTCTCACCGTCAGACAATCACCATTGTCATGGAACAAAGGAAACTTTAGTACTAAAACAATACAAACTACATCAAAAAACAAAGGAAAATGTAATAGCAAAATAATACAATGAAAGGGAACATGAAGGCTAGCTTCTTCAGATAAATAAAATCAGCATTTATACAAAAGTCTCTATCTTGCTTCCTCTCCTTGACTTGGGGAAAATCGTACATGCTGAGTCTTCAACTGATACTTGGGAGTCACTGAACAATTAAGTAGCATCAAAAAGCAGAGACCAAGTTTTCATTCTTAACTGGTTTACATGAGGATTCGTTACTTTAATAATGAAAACTCTATTACATCAATTCCCCCTTTTCCTGATTTCTATTATGAAATGTATACTGTTATTACATGGACAATGTTGAAGCATGGTGAGAGCTTCTGGCGAAAGTAAAAATGAGCGTGGACCACCTGCTTTTCAGAACTTCTGCAGAACTGCTCGGGTTTCCCCTTTTTCTTCACTAACACCTTTAACCCCCTTTCTTTGCTGTACACTCCAAATTGTTACTGTTTTCCTTGAGTCTGTTTCCACAGAGTAATTTAACTTAAAAATACCTGAGTATGGATATTGTCATAACAAAAGTAACTTCAGTGAAGTTAATTTTCACCTGTAACTATTCTTCCACTTACAAACCGCCCATCCTTCATAGAATAATGATAATTGGAAATTCTCTTGGGGCTGGAGAGATGGCTCCGTGGTTAAGAGCACGGGCTGCTTTTGCAGAGAATCCAGGTTCGATTCCCAGCACCCATCTGGTAGCCCACATGTGTCTATAACTCCAGTTCCAGAAGAGATTCAGCCCTCTTCTGACCTCTGCAGGAACCAGGCACGAATGTGTTGCACATGCAAGCAAGACACAAAGTAAAATAAATCTTTAAAAAAAAGAAATTCTCTTACCTCATTTGAAATGGCTTCAGATTTTCTATGATAGACATCTGTTTTAAAAAAAAAATGAGTACTCTTTTATTAAAACAATATTGTATTACTTACAAGTGTGTATACTGATAAAGCTAGGATTATAATTGCTAGGATTACAAATGGCTACTAAAACAGCTATTCAAACATGAACACTATCTTTGTGAAAACAGCTGACAAGTCTCTAGGAAGATAAGGGGAGCAGATGAGAAACAAACAAACAAAAAAAATGGAATGGAGCATGTATGAATTGGTGTGCAATCTTTACACTGCTCCCAAAGTCCCCGGGCCATTTTACAGTCCACCAACAATAAACAAAGTTTTCCATTTCCTCACATCCTGGCCAACACATGTTATCTTTTTGGTACCAGCCATCTAATGAGGTCTAAGATGATATTTTATTTTGACCTTGATTTACATTGAACTGATGGTTAGTGATGTTGAACATTTGTCTTTCTCTTTGTGGAGGTTTATATACAAGTTCCTAAGCCATTTTTAATCAGTTTATTTAAATTGATTTGTTATTGTTGTTAGTGAGTTGAAAAAAAAATTCCTTATACCGTTTGGGTATTAGCCACTTGCCAGATGCTTTGCAGATATTCTGTCCCATTCTGTCTGTACATTGACTCTTCACTTACTTTATACAGCCCAGCCTTCTGTTTTCGCTTTTGCTGTCTCATTAAAGGAATTGCCACTTACACCAATGTCGTTGAACTTTTTTCATATATTGCCTACAAATCTGCCTCCCGAGTGCTGAAACTAAAGGCCTGGGCTACCAACACCTGTTTGTTTGTTTGTTTGTTTTTTAACTTTTAATTGTGGTGTGTGTGTGTGTGTGTGTGTGTGTGTGTGTGTGTGTGTGTGTGTGAGCGCTCATGTCTCTGTCACTGTACTAATCTAGGAAAGTGCTGATGTATCTCCAAACTCTACTACATGATTGCTCAAGCTCCTTTGTAGTGTGGTTTGTACTGCTTGATTGAAGTGATGTAGGACCTCCCATACACTAGGCAAGCACTCTGCCACTGTCTCCCTCCGTGTGTGTGTGTGTGTGTGTGTGTGTGTGTGTGTGTGTGTAAATAGCCTAGAAAGATGATTAAGTTGCAGCAAAAATCTTGCCACAATAAATTATGTTACACACTCGAATTAAAGACTTTAAAGATACATAAACGTGTTTAAAGTACAGTGGTATACTTCAACTTGTGTTTGGGAGATTGTGTAAACACTATTTTTCACTAATTAAATCTCTTACTGATAATTTATACTTAAGTTCTCAAATTAGGTACTTATTGAATTTTCTCCACTACAATTTCTCTCTTTCTGCCTGTCTTTTTCTTATTGTCTGAGTCTCTGTCTCTCTCCCCTGTTTCTCTCTCCCCGCCCCCCACACACACGCACCCTACCTCAATAGTTCTACAGTTCAAAATGGTTAACAATTTTCTTTATAAATATCACAGTTGGGATTTAATTTTTTTCATCTTTAAAGAAATAAAGAACCATTAAGAGTTTTTAAAACTGCTGGGGTTGGAGAAATGACTCAGCAGTAAGACACTGTCTGCTCTTGCAAAGGATCCAGATTCAATTCCCAGCACGCAGTAGCAGCTCACAACCACCTGTAACTCTAGTCCTAGATGAAATGATGCTATCTGATGGCCTCTGAGAGCACCAGAAATACACTTGGTAGACAGACATATATAGACAAAACACCCATACACATAAAATAATTTTAAAATTAAAAAACTCTTAATGGGGTCTAAGACCTTTCCTTGAAATTCATACAAAATACAAATGTAATTGATACAATAATAAAGTGTATATTTGATGTATGAAATCCATTTAAAACAAAATAGTAACTTTTATAATATAACACCTTGCTTTAATTAGCTTAACAATAAACATAAAAATTAACATGATATTTTTTTACCATGTGTCATAGCTGCAGGCTCTTCTTCAATTAGACTATAAGTTTTTTCAGATAGTTCATTTGAATTATCTTCCTAGACACACACAGAAAGAAAGAAAATATGTTGAACAAAATACTTAAAGAGCTAAAATGGTTTGTTTGATTTCATAATTTTTATTTATAGAATACTTTATTACTTTATGTCATAAAACTCACATAGATAAGACTACAAAGTTAATAAAATTTTAATATACATTTCCCCTCTAAATTTACAGAGGACGACAATAAGAAGTTGGTGAGAAAATTAACCAAGGAGCATGATTTCAAAAGGACTAACTGCTCCTGAGAGAAGGAATACAAGAATGGGGACTCCTGCCATTTAAGTAATGAAATGAAAGTAAAAGAGATACAAACTGCAATGTTAATTGTATGACTTCAAGCAGGAAGTGAGAATACCAGGGAATGTATTTTTATTGGAATACGTTATGACCTATGTAATTATGTATATATTTACAAAAGTTAAAGGAAATTTGTAATGTACAATGACATTGAACTTTTTTATAAAGTACCTATACAAATAAGAGCATAAATCCACACCCTCTATAACAATTGTTCTAAGTTTCCCCTAAAGTAGTAACTATATATTAATAAATAGTAATTAATTTAACCCATAACATTACATTACTGGCCAATTATTGTAAAACATAAAAATACCAACACTGCATGACTAGTATTTCAGGGTTGTGATCATAGTAAATTTTTTTTTATCTGAGCTTGGAATTGTTTATTTCTTGATTAAAATGTATAGGTTAGACTGCATATCTAAATTTCAAATTCATTTTTAAAAACCATTGCAGTTCAATAAAGAAAAAAATTAAAATTTATTGAAAGATTTAAAAGTATTTATCCAAAGAAAATACACAAATGACCTGTGAGTGTATGAAGAAAAAAAAAGTTCACACCATCCATCATTAGAGAAATGTAAACTAAAAATTCAGAGACAACACTTTGCGCTCACAAATGTCAGTGACACTATTAGGACTAGCAATGATGACTATATGGAAATATATGGAAAACCATCAGGTGGCCAAGATCCAGAACCATCTCACATCGTTTTATTGTGATTTAAGATAGCAAAGCTATTTTACAAAGGTTTGGCGATTTTTCAAAACTTTAAACTGGTAATTGCCATTTCACCCAGCTTCTATTCCTGGGCATTCACAGAGGAAAATTAAAAACACTTGTTCACACAAAAACATATATAAAACAGCCAAACATATTGGTCCACATCTGTGATCTCAGCACTTGGGAGACTAAGGCAGAAGAAGTCCAAGTTTGAGGTTAGTTTGGGCAACTCAGCAAGTTTAAGATCAGCCTACGTAGTGAAACCCCATCTCAAGAAAAACAAATGTTTGCACATGGATGCCCACAGCAGCACATTCACCATAGCTCAATAGTTTATGTAACCTAAATGTTGTTCAGCAGATGAGCACACAAATAAAATGTATCTGGAAACAACTAGAATGCTGATATATGCTACAAGAAAACACGTGGGAAACATTATGGTAAGAGGAAAAAAGAAAGCTACAGAGGACCACATATTTATATATAATCCCATTTTTATGCAATGTTGGAATAGGCAAATGTACACAGAAGAAATTAGATTGGCTGTTGCAGAGGGCTACCCAGAAGGCAGTGGGAGAACCGAGAAAGCATTGGCTCACAGTGTTGGGCTAGTTCTGTTTAAAAATAGTGAAAACGTTCTAAAATTGATTGTGGTAATGGATCTGCCCCTTGGTGGACAGGCTGAATGCCACTGGAGTGTAGACTTTAAATTGACCAATTAATTAAACCTTATATAGTATGAATAAACACTTACTGAATGGTACAGTGTTAATCTAGAGAAGAATATGAATAGTGAATAACATTTAATGGTAACAAACAATTATCTGGTAAAACATTTGAAATTACCAAAGTATGCTTTTATTAAATATGTATTACATGCTACATATGAGAGAATTCATTTTGTCAATTACCTCAGAACATTTGTAAACCTCTTTTGGAGTGATAAGATTTCTTAAATACTCAGCTTTTTCTATCCATGTGTTCAGATGTCTATACTCTGTTTTCATTTTTTCCAACCTGAACAAAGAAATCAGCTATAGATGAAAAAAGCAAGTGACAGAGGGATATGTATGGCAAAATTCACACAAGAGAAATACAATATGATCCATTTATCAGTGACAAACTAACAGCATACTATCTAAGAATACACCTAAAAGAAATGATTACAACAAAAATGAGGGCCATAGCTATAGGAAATGATTAAGGAGAGAGACACCGTTCATAAAGGCACACAAAATACATTTCTGGCATTAGTAATAATGATGTATTTCTTATTCAGGTAATAACTTTATTCTCATTATTTAAGCTTTATAAAGATATTTCAGAAATTATTCAATTATGCATTATGTAGTCTTGTTGTTTTAATTTGTTTATTTTTGTCAGTTTGGGCTTCAACAACAGAATCCCATATATTGGGTGGATTAAAAAACAGACATTTATTTCTCAAAATTCTCGAGGCTAGGTACCAGCTCGCTCAGATTCTGGTGAGAGTCTTCCTGGCTTCAGATGGCCATCATCTTATACTCTCATAGTGGGGGGGATGGATACCATGTCTTCTCCTCCTTCTGTAACTTCTGTAAGGGCATTGATTGCATTACAAGGCCTTCATCCTCAAACCTAACCTAACCCCAGTTATTTCCCAAAAGCTCTACCTTTGAAATATTGTTGCACCACAGATGAAAACTTTAACATACCAGTTGGTCTGATGGTATAGTTCACTGATAGACCATTTGCCTAGAATGCTTGAGGCCCTGTGTTCAATTCACAGCAATACTAATTACAGTGGTAAGAATTGGGGTGGGGGTGAAAACACCTGCTCTACCACTACATACCCACACGTTTTGTCACTGAATGTATAATAATGTTTTTGTTTTTCAACAAACTGTGTTTTCCCCTTGAAAAGCATGCTTGCTTCTACACTGATAAGATGTGCATTATATGGTAAATTGCCACATGCTGCTTGAGTTCTCTGAGAAGAAGTGACAAAGAAGTAGGAAGTCTGGGGGTGACAGTGGCTGCAGAGGCAGCCCAATTTCAGAATCTTTTCAAATCCCTGCAGAAAGTAATAGAATATAAGTAGGAACCACAACCCATGGGTGGCATTAGTAACAAACTTTATAGCAAAATATTTAAAACTTCCTTTAAAACAAAAAGTCAATATTGAGGATTTCCATGTACAAGAATTCAAGGTACACTGTAGTTGACCACAATGTTTCTTAACTACTTTTCTCTCAAAAGTCTAATTATAGAACTCCCCATGGCTTTATCCCCAAGGATGGCCATAAGACTTGCCTTGGCCAATGGGATACTATTAATGTGACATAAACCTAAGTATGAGGAATCCTTCTTCAATGCTGGTTTCAAAGTGCGGGACAGCCTATAAGAAGTCACAAAGAAAACTCAAGTCTCAATTCACAGCTGGAACCAACTGGCAGATGGGTGAGCAAAGGCTTCTCATGGTTCATCTGTTTCTACTGTCATCTGACTGTACGAAGAAACCCAGCCAAGAAGAAAAAAATTAAAACGTTAGTCTACAGAAACTTGCAATATGCCTACATTCAGGGTGGTTCTCAGTACAGCATTGCTTTTGAAGGAAAATCAGAAACCAACCTTGAAAACCAGATGACTGAAGGAAAAAGACAATTGAGAATTCGCCCCTCTTTCCTTGCAGGAAATGTAACACTGGGCAACCAAGAAGGAGATTTATAAAATTATTCCATTTAGTAAATAAAAACAAAACAGCAACAAAAAACCCAAAGTAGTAGAATTAGAATAACTCCATTTTGCTGTTGTATGGTCTCTAATAAAGCACAATATGGTTTCTAATAAAAACTAACAAATTAAAAAAAATTGCAGTGGCATATGCCTTTAATCCCAGCACTCAGGAGGCAGAGGCAGGCAGATATCTTGTGAGTTCAAGGACAGCCAGGGCTACACAGCCTGACTCAAAAAACAAACAAACAAACAAACAAAAAAAACAAAACAAAAAAAACAACAAAAAAACTACAAATAAAAATTAAAAGAATTGCAAAGGCATTAAATAGAGAGAGATAAATAAATTTTAAAATAATTGGAAAAGCAAACATGTGCTACGTAATAAAAGAACCAAATATCAGTCTTACCAAATTGTACTGATTCTTATATTGTGTGTTCAGTTTGGGGACAAGCATATGACATACTAGATTAAATTTCAATATAAGGATGTGGTCAACAAATACAAGGTCCTGCCCTAAAACATCATCAATAAGCGGTCATGGCTTTAACATATGACCTGGGGAGTATAAACACTCTATCTGTAGCAACCATTGTTATTCAGAACCTAGATCTGATAATTCTGCTATCTGTGTCTCCTGTAAATTTGTGCTTAGTGTAATTTTTTTCACTGTTTGCTCTTAGGTGTGTGTGTGGGGGGGGACTATTCATTCTCTTGCATATAGCTGTCTTACTGAGTGCAAGATACTGTACTTGAAAATTTATAAAACTGATTTGAGGCTCTTGTGTATATTTTCCTCTAGAGAAGACATGCATTTACCTCTGGCAGCCAACTAAGCTAAGAAAACTGGTAACTCACATCACTTCAAAGCTATTGAAATTAAGATTAGAGTGATCCAAAGCTGGGCCTCCATTTCCAGAAAGATTAGTGTTTTTTTTAGGCTTACTTGTACTTCTAACTCCAGAATAGGGACTAGTGGTAGGCAGCAAAGGCGACTAGGGCATGGCATTCAGAGATTGTAATGGTTAAAGACTGAAAAGAGTAGCACATACATATTGAATTATAAACCAGTGTCATGATGCCAGATAAATCCAGAGTAGGGATAAATAAATGTCTTCAGAGATTAAGCCCAATTGGCTGTGGTGATTTACAGAGGTCTGGACTATTTAACACAAAGACTACTATGACCAAGGCTTGGGATTTGGGCAGAGAGGAAGGAACTATACAAATCAATGGAAGTTCCATAGCTGAGGGGGATAAAAATAACTAAAATTCAAGCCTGAATTAGTTCAATAGCAGATTTAAAAAAAAAGAAGAAGAAGAAGAAGAGCCATTGAGATGGAATATAAGCCAGAAGGAAGCAACAGAGAGGAGGGTGAGGAAAGACAGCGCGAGAGATTGCTGAGAAACGATCAATGGACACGTGAAACACCATCACAACGAGTATTTCTAGACCAGTGTGATAGCTCATGGCTTAACACAAGGAAGTTGGAATGATAAAGACTACATGTAAATGAATGATGTTTGTGTGCGCTTTTTACCTTTCCCGGGGTTTCTCTTGGAGTTTTTCAAGTCGCACTGTCTGGCTGGCATCAACAGCCCCAATGCTAACTTTAAGCTCTGGAGATAAGAATGCTGGGTATTCTACTCGTTGTGGTGTAATAACATTTCTGAAAAATAATAATAGGGTTAAATGCCAACACTATATAAAAACACATCCCTAAAGTTGGTGTGGTAACTGTTGTCTTGAATTGTTCTTCTTGTACCAGTTTGCCCACTACCATGGGTTGTGGTAGGAAACACATCAGAGTTTTGCCCAGGGCTCAGTGTTGGTGATGGTGCTGTGACAGACTTAATGGAAAGGCTACTCCACTGCTCTGTTGAGTTTGTTGTTTCTCGACAGCAAGGAACATAGTAAGAATGGATTTCATGAATCACAGATAGACTACTGTACTTTATTTGCTGTGAATTGAGTTCCTTAATCAGGACAATGCAGTGTGGAACATCATGATGATGGAAGGGGCTTTTTAAGGCTACAGAAAAGCAGTACACATAGCGAAAGCAACACTGTACTTTGTCCAGGGTAAGTAATCACACGGTGCCATTTTCATTTGATGATGGAGAGTTACTGGCACCTCTAACTTTATGGCTGAGTAGGTATGATGGCAGCTGAGGTTACACAGTGACCTGATGGCCTGTAGTTACACATTCAATCTCTGCTAAGCTCTACTGACAGGCCAAAGTCCCTTCTCCCAAACATTCTAAGGGCTTGTTATGTAATTCACTCACAGGGGCCTCCTTAAGGAGCCAAACAGCATCTCTCTTTCATTTACACACAAGGCATCTTTAGACCCATTGAACCATATGGACCAGGTGCTAGAGCAGTTTGCCAAGCAGCCTGTACCTGTTTAAAAAGCTCCTCTCACTTTGAGCTCTACTCAGTACTTTCTTGGTCCTTTGGTAAATTGGTCAGAATGATGCACCTAAATAAAGAATAGGATACCTCCAAAACTGAAAGAGATCTACTGGCTGTAGAAGGGGAAACTTGAAACAACTTTCCATCACCATGGAAGGGTTATTTCCACATTTTATGACCATAGGATTCCTAGAAATTTCACTGAGGTAGAGGGTGCTGATTTTTTTGGTCATATTACTTCCCCACTTTCTTATATGTACAAAAAAATTATAAAAAGTCAACAGTAACTGTTACATCTTGTTCACTAGATCCAATCAGTTAATTTTATCAGTGCAATGTAACTGTATATCCTATAAAAGAAAAAGGTGACCAAGATCTTTGGAAATGAAATAAATACTTAACTTTTAGAGGATTGATGGATCTCTGAACAGGTCAATGAAGATATATTTCTCCCTTTGTCTCTAAGCTCAAACTATTTCTGATGGTCTTTATTAAGAAATACCAAGTCTATCGCTCTGTGTCACATGCTAGGGAAGATGTTCATTTGCTCAGATGGTAAAAACACAGTCGGCACAGTGGCTTGCAATAAGCTCACAATAGCCACCTGCCGTATTCATCTGTCACTGGCACAAATTAAACAAACTGAGGAGAGTTGTAGTGAGAGCCAGCCCCTGCTATCCCCTCCAGAAAGATAGCATTACTGCTTTCCTGGGCAAAGGGAGTCAGTGGCTGCTATTTGGTTCCTGTCACAGACCAAGAACCAATGTGGGGATCCCAGCATGGATTAGACATGTCTGTGCCAATCATGTCTTCTTGAACGGAGGAAACAACAATATGACAGCACAAGGCTTTAATTAGTCATCGTGGTCACTAATTTGAAAGCCTTTAATTTTATTATTTTTTTTCTAAATAAAGGCAAAGAACCCAAACAACTTTAAATAACTTGCGTGAGGTGACATAGTGAGTACATGGCTGGCATATGTCACCACGCTTGAGCCTCCATCTTCCCTATCCCACTGCCAACCTCCTGGACCCTCTGTCCTTAGTCTTAGATACTGGAATTCACTGCTCACAGCCCCAACACAACAGGGCATCTTACAGAGCCGCTTTTGTGTATGTGCCCTTCGTGGGGGGACGAATCCCCTTGGATTCATTTCTCAAATCTCCCTTTACTCTTTCTTTCGTGGAGTGTTACTGGGAAAATCTTTCCTTCTCTCCTCAGCTGACTTGCAGCTCTTTATATCTAGCTCTTAACGAACTCTCATTTCATAAGCAAACCATCATGATAATTCATTTTTTCCAAATTACCTATGCATTAAACTATAAGCACAAGGCAGGGAAACTAGGTGTTGTTTCTCTTTGTAGTTTCAATGCCTTAGGAATGTGGCAACCATTTAGAAAACGTAAATCAATGGATAAAGATAAAAACTGTAAGAAAAAAAGTCAACTTTATAATTTCATAAATCACTACAATCGAGTGGATAAAGTGTTTTTTTTTTTTTTTTTTTTTGTTTTTTTTTTAATGCAATAGCCAGTGGTGAGATCATAAGAAAAAAAATCCCTTTGGAATAGAGCATCACATCCATATATTTCTTGTTCATTTGTTTGTTTTTGTTTTTTGAGACAGGGTTTCTCTGTGTAGCCCTGGCTGTCCTAGAATGGAGTGAATTCCATATCCCATATCTAATTTTTTGACTCATTTCAGCTTTTCAAAGCAGTTGTTTTTTCTTGGATACCTCTTTTGCTGATGCATATTGTGCTGTAGTGTATTTTTACTGCTGTAGTGTGAAGACCATTTGGAATACTATATTTTAAACTACGTTTCACTTTCTAATAGCTTAATGTTGTGTGAGGAGGTATGAAGTGGGGGGATGTGTGCACATAAATGTGTCTTACTCTCACTCCCTGCCTGGTCCCCTGGAACAGTGTCATTCACTGAGCCTTGAGCTCACCATTTCAGCTAGGCTGGCCAGCTGCTGCTCTCTGTCCCTCAAAGCTGGGGGCTATAGGCACCTGCAGCCATGACTGGCTTTGTGCATGGATGCTGGGGTCCGAACATAGCTTGCAGAGCATCTCCCCCACCTCACTAATAACAATTCTCACATAGCTCACATAGTTTTATTGTTGTTTTGGTTTGTTTGTTTTGTTGTACAGCTCATTTGGAAGTTACAGTTGGAGCGGTGGGGGGAAGGCTAACACTGCTGTCCTACCAAAGCAGGCAACCACTAGACACATGGATCTTAGAAGCCCTTCCTTTTTATTCCATAAGGAGGACCTTGCTGGCTAATTTCCTCATTATCCACGAAGGAGTCAAGTCACCAGTCTCCTCTCATCTCTAGACCTCAGCTCCTTTCTCCATGGTGACACCTGGAATCTCAGTATCTCTCCCGTCTTCTTGTTTGTTGGCTTGTTTTTTCACAAGGTTTCAAGAAACCACTGAACTCTCCATCAGCTTGCCTCTACCTCTCAAGTGTTGGGGTTACAGGCATCAACCACCACACCTGGCTCTTTCTCTCACATTAAGCAAAGGAATTCAGTGCTCCCTCTACCTTAGGGTCTACCCATCTCGGCCATGTTCTCAGGGATCCTTTAGATAACTAATGTGTTGCATCACACCTTCAAAATGCCACTTGATCTTAATATGGTAATAACTAAATCAAAACACTCACGTGACAGGATCTGTTCTGTCTGGAGGAGGTGCAATCTTCATGAACATAGAGGGTTCAATGATTTTTTGAAGAGGTTTTAACTGAATAAAAATGTAAGCATATTATGGTATAATTCACCATGCTAGGACAAACAGCTCCCAGCCCACAAAAGCCAAACAGTTCTCATGTATTTAAGGGGAAGCAGAATGAAGAAAGGAAATTCATTTGTTGGGTACTAAACATTTGCCAAGCATTACATACATTTAATTTTCTCTAAATCTTTGGATAAAACTATGAGGTGTGAATATTTTATAGATCACATTGAAGAAGAGTGATTCAGTCAAAGTTAAAAATGCTGTGCAACACAGGGTATGAGTGCGCAAAACGGGGCGTGAGTATATGATGGGAGATGTCATTCTGTAAATATGTTTCTCTTATTGGTTAATGAATAAAGCACTGTTGGCCAATAGGATAGCAAGATAGGCGGGACTAGGAGATGAGGATTCTGGAAGTAGTAGGGAGGAAATCCAAGATGGAGGACGGAGAGAGAACACCAGCTGCTCTCTCCGGTAAGATGAGACCACATGGAAATACTTAGATTAATAGAAATGGGATAATATTTAAGACAGACCTAGCTGATAAGAAACTAGTAACTGGCATACAGCTTTATATCAAATACAGCGTCTCAGTGTGTTATTTGTGGCTGGCGCGGTGGTGGGACCAGGCTGGCAGAGAAACTACTCATAACAATATGGCGTCCAATGTGGACTGAAGAAATTCCACTTAAAACTTAACAAAAGCTTAAAAAAAGGATTTTAGAAACAAAAGAACAGAGACAAGCAAGGTTTCTAGGTAACAGCATTTTTCTCAGTTGGGCTCTGTTTTGCTAAAGACAAACAGAGACTTGTGCAGCTCCTTTAGGGTAGATTTCCTGACTCAGCATAAGTGGCAAAAAACTGCAAGGCTTTTAAAGAGCTCTTTTAACAACTGAATGGTGTGTAGGAGAGCTGGCAATGGCACTGACCACATCTCCAAGCCGGCAACATGCTGCTGGATAGCAGTGCAGACCAAGGCAGTGAGCACAGCTCTCAGTTCTGGCGGTAAAATAGCCACCGCCATCTTGGATAGACCGCAGTTAATACAGCTGTGGCTTTCATTTTAGCAATGTTGTTGTTTACCAGATAAAAGACTTGTGGCCAGAAAAAGATTATATATATATATATATGGGAGAGAAAAGGTATAAAATGGTTTTAAAAAGACAGAGAGTAGCTGGGTGTGGTGGCACACACCTTTAATTCCAGCACTTGGGAGACAGAGGCAAGCAGATCTCTGTGATTTCAAAGTAAACCTGGTATACAGTTAATTCCAGGACAAATAAAAGTTGCACAGAGAAACCCTGTCTCAAAAAATGAAAAAGAAGTAGAAGAAATAGGGTAATAAAAAAGCCATGTAAAGATGGAGAGAATCTGGATACTGTACAGTGTTATATTGTCTTTGTATCTTTTGACTACTGAGGAAATAACAACTGTTAAAACAAATGCTGCCGGATCAATCCAATTTATATATTTTAAAAATGCTTTGTCCTCAAAATTTAAGTCTAAGGACAAGTTACTGAGTAAAAGGATTTCTATTTTTGTTTCCACAGAAAATGAAAAGCTGTGGATTCCTTCCAGACTAATGTGGTTTAATCAAGCCAGACCCCCTGAAACAGCATCCCAGGTGATCCAACATTCAAAACAGTTGGGACAAAACAGCCTTGCAGACTACAGCCAAGATTTCTTAGGAACCCCATGACAGTGCCCCCTACCAGCAGGAAGCAGTTTGGGAAGAAAGATGCCCAAAATCCCTAATATTGTGTATAATTGTGTATAAATGTTTGTTTTCATTTAAGTGGGCTTGGTTATAAATGGTTAATGACCACAATCATTTTTTTAAAGGTAAAAAGGTGATTATGGTATAGATATGAATACTGTGTTTTAGAATGGATTTTCACTTATTGATACTATTTAAAGTCAATTTTGTTAGTGTATATTTCTCCTCTTGTTTAGGTATTGTGTTTATTAGCTCATTTAGAAATGTAATATATAATTTAGTACATATTTTAGATAGTTACCTATAATAGTCAAAACTTATAGTTAAGTTAGTCAGGTTTTCAAGATATACAGAGATATATTTGAGATGGATAGGCATTCGTCAAACTTTTCAAAGACCTACAGAATATGGCATTTAAAATGGTTTAGGGTTTTTCTTGTCAGTGAGGCACAATTGCTCCTGGCAACACTGCCTTTGTCAGAAAGGAAGATGGACATTGAAGAAACACATTATGGAATTTACTTTCAATATGTCAAAACTAGCCATTTGGACAAGATACTGCTCTTGTCTGGACTATTTGACTTTATGCTGTATAAACTGGACATGCAGGACCCACAGGAAAGTGACTGCTGAAACAAGATGGACATTGCTACAGGGTTCCTGCTTCATGGAAGAGTCTGCCAGACAGTCTGCAGGACACAGAGAAAAGTGAGTAACAAACTGCCAATACAAATGGACAGTTTAAAGTTTCCTGCTTTGCTGAAGAGTCTGCCAGACACACTTTGGCCTATAGGCTGAAGATGGAACATTACAGAAGAACTTCAGGTGACTGACCAGGCAAGATGTCTCTGTCATTTCTAGAGTTTATATATTATCCTTCTGTGGTCTTTGAGGGAGTTGAAGGCAGATAGTTATGGTTATAGTTTTCCTTAGTAAGAATTAAAGGTAAGTTTCATATAAGAGTTTAGACTCACAAAGATAGGAGAGATGATAGAATATTTTCTTTAAGTCTTACTACATGTTAATGGACTCAATATTGTTAACTATAGTTCTTATTTGATAACTGTTTTGTTATATATTTTACTATATTAAGGTTAAAACCGTTCTTTTTATTTTAGACAGAAAAGAGGAGATGATGGGAGATGTCATTCTGTAAATATGTTTCTCTTATTGGTTAATGAATAAAGCACTGTTGGCCAATAGGAAAGCAAGATAGGCGGGATTAGGAGATGAGGAGGATTCTGAAAGTAGTAGGGAGGAGATCCAAGATGGAGGACGGAGAGAGAAGAGTGCCAGCCCCTCTGTCCAGTAAGATAAGACCATGTGGAAATACTTAGATTAATAGAAATGGGTTAATAATTAAGACAGAGCTAGCTGATAGGAAACTAGTAGCTGGCCGACAGAATTATATCAAATGCAGAGTCTCTGTGTATTATTTGGGGCTGGCATGGCAGTGGGTCCAGACCGGCAAGGAAAAACCTTATTCATAACAAGTATAGGTTTTCTTGCCTCTTGTGTAGAGCTCTTTTCCCATCATCATAAGAGGTGATGAAGGAGAATAGGGTCATGGTCAAGTTTCTCTTTTGTTGGACAGCCATTTCTTTTCCATACAGTACCATCGTCCTGTTTTCAGTAAGGTCTACATACATAATACTTCCCTAGTTTTATCTGAAAATAGGCTATTGCTTTCTCTGTGTGTGCATTTGTTTGTGTATACATGTATGTGCTCATTTGTATCTGAAGGTATATGCTGTGTGTGTGTATGCTATATGTGTGTGCTGTGTGTGTAGTCCAGAAAATAACCTCAGTTTCTCACTGGCTTGGAGCTCATCAAGTAGGCTACACTGGCCAGCCAGCAAGCCTCCAAAGATCTTCCTGTTTCCACCTCCCCACCGCTGGAGGGGGGATTGCAGATCCCCCCAAAAAAAACTCTCTTTAAGAACATTCTTACAAGTTATGCTTATATTTGGACGCAAAACCTACTTCTAAAATCATACTCATAAGCTATGACTGCAAAATATAACTTACAAAAATAATGGCAGTGGAGATTCTAATAAGGCATGTTTCACAAGAAAAGACTATAAGGGCTAGATGGATGGCTCAGTCAGCAGAGTGCTTTCCATGCAAGCCTGAAGATCCAAGTTCAATATCAAGCACCCACCTAAAAAGCCAGACTTGGTGGCATGCACTGTAGCCCCAGTGCTGGGAAGAGCCAGGAGGCTCTGGTGATTATTCTAATTGGTAAGCCCCAGGTCCCAGTGAGAGGCTCTGTCTCCTGGGGAATGACAAAGTTACCTCTAGTCTCCAAACACATGTACATGCACACACATATGCACCTTAATGTTATCCATGCACACACAGAATAAAATAACCAGGCATGCCAGTGCACTAGTGCAATAATCTCAGCACTATTCTGTGGTAAGAATCATGAGTTTAAAGTGAAACTGGGATCCACAGATAACTCAGGACCATACTGAGTGGTATAGAAAGTCTCAGTTTCCAAAAGCCATGTCCTGGGCATGTAACATTTACCTGCTGTACTCAATGCTCTGTGTTAGCACCCAACATTTCAATAAGTAAGTAATAAACAAACAAATGGAAATAACAGTACAATCAGATGAGAAAAAAGGCTTGTTCTTTGTGGTTATCATCTGTACACTTCTGTTTCCAAATTAACAATCATGATATACTGTGGACAAAAATTTAATTGTATTATAGGGATGTTTTTAAATAAACATAGCAGTAGACTTATTTAGTAAGATTAATCTCCTTATTCTCAATTAATAACCAAAATTCACCCAAGACTAATAAACAAAAATCTGAAATGAAGGTCACCCCCCTACACAGCAGCAGTATCAACAGGGTCGTGTTAACACTCCTGGAGTTCTGAAGATCCAGAGTTCTTTCACTGGGCAGTGGTAGTGCACACCTTTAATCCCAGCACTCCAGAGGCAGAGGCAGGTGGATCTCTGTGAGTTCGAGGCCAGAACAGACAGGGACACACAGACAGACACTCTGGCTCAAAAATCAAATCAAAACAAAGAAAGAGTTCTTTCAAAATATGTTGATACGGTTTTTCTAGAATAATTTTTTCATCAATCTTAATGCTAGAATCACAGGCTTGTGTCTATGACCAATTACTCCATTTTTAATGAATATTTCTAGATCGAAATTCCACATTCAGTTAATGTCTAAAATATTGTTTTTAATTTTTAAAATGTGTAGAAACAATAAAAAGTCTTACAATAAATTCATTTTGAATAAAATATCATTTAAAATGTATAAGTGAACACATGGTAAAGGGTTTTGTTTTTTGTCTGTTTTGGGATTTGTGTGTGTGTGTGTGTGTGTGTGTGTGTGTGTGTGTGTGTGTGTGTGTAGAAAAGCCCTTATATTGGGCTGAAGAGATGGTTCAGAGGTTAAAGTTCAATTCCCAGCACCACGTGGTGGCTCACAACCATCTATAATGAGATCTGGTGCCCTCTTCTGGCCTGCAGACACACAGACAGAAGACTGTATATATAATAAATAGGTAAGTAAATCTTAAAAATAAGAAAGAAAGAATGAAAGAAAGAAGAAAGGAAAAGCCCTTACATCTCAAGAGCACAGCATTTATTTTTAAGTGATTATTTCTAAGCATTTCTTTTTTTTTTTTCAGGGGACTGCATGTGGCATGACACACACACAGAGGTCAGAGGACAGCTTGTGGGAAAGGGCTCTCTCTCCTTCTACTATGTCGGCTCCTGTGACTGAACTCAAGTCATCAGACTTCAGATGCCAGTCCTAAAGGTGCTTACTTATAAAAGTAAGCCAGCTGGAAAAGTAGGGGCTGGGAGTAGAATGGTTTGATTGATGAGCTAAAACAGAATGAATTTTTTTTTTTTTTTTTAAGAGAAGGGAACTAACCTGATGTGAAAATCCATAACCGAATGTTCCATAGGAAAACATGAACTCGACTTCCGCCCTGCAGATAGTCTGAAAGCGAACAATGCTGTTAGAGAAGTGACAGGAAGTGATAATTCATAAACCTGTACATTCAGAAAAGCCCAGATTGAATCTTCTGGTTAAAAAAGACCAAAGCGTCATTGACACAAAGAACTCCAAAAGAGTTCTGTTCAGTTGGCAGGACGCTGTAAGCTTTTCATTTTAAAATTACGCAATGCTAATGGTTAAATCTACAAAATTTCAACATAGTTATTAGTAGGATTATGCTAAGATACTGGCATATATGTTCATATTTTATATATGCATATATTTCAGATGATTTAGTCACATACCTTCCATCTCCATCCCATATCAAATTCAGTTGAGAGAAGCAACCTCACCTCTGAACCCAGGCTGCCCACATGTGAAGGGAAGAGGAGCCCGGTACTCAGTGACTTTACATGTTCCTCATCCCATCCCCATTCTGGCCAGCACAGCAGAACATCTTGGATTGCTCAATTAATCAAATTACTAACATTTAAGTACGTTCAGAATTAGAAACTGTAGACATCTCTTCAGAGACTCTCCAGCAAGGCTTTGGTCTGTGTACTGAAAGCAGCCAGAGACATTTTGCTGTCTCATCCAGAGAGTTCTAATCCTCTCTTCCATAATTTCCTAATAAGATCAAAGCCTTAAAACATATTTATATATGTATATAAGTAACAATTAAAGAAGAAGAGGCCACGGATTTGAGAAAGAGCAAGGGAGGTGGATGAGAGGAGTTGGAGGGAGGAAATGGAAGGGGAAATATTATATTGTAATTTTGAAAAATTATTATAAAAATATTTTAAAAACTAAATTTAGAGTCTGAAAATGATACCAATTTTTATATTTAGAATGAAGAATGTATAAATAAATACTATAATGTTTCTACGTGACACATTTTTACTAATTGACACAGCTATGGTTAGTGTAATTAAAAACTTTAGGCTCTAAGTTATCAGAGTAATTTCTACACAGTGTTGAAATATCACACGTATATAAATCTTAGGAAGGTTTGTAAAGTTCTTACGGAGGTTCTGTGCTTCATTTGTAATACTTCGGTAAAGCAGCCTTTCTAGAAAATAAATGTAGAATTATTCATGTACACATCTGTCTTTATCTAAAGCATATTATAATACAAAACCAGGTAATCATTTTTGAGTATACATGAATCCATAGCTAAAATACAAGTTGAATGCAATTTTAACTAAATTAAAATACAAATATAACAAATGTTCCGTAGAAGAAAAACTCCACTTGCGAATGGCAGAAATAGATGTAGATATCAGCATTTACAGGGGCAGAATGCTTCTGCTGGGTGGACCTCCCTTTCTGGGAATCCACCCCATTCTGGTTTTGAGGGTTAAATGCAAATCTCCATGGCAAGTTCCTGGGTAGGTGGGAAATCCCTCACGCCCCAAGGGCATGGGCAGGCTCTGAGATCTTCGCCATCCTTGGTCCCCATCTGTGGTTATCTCTGTTATCCTGTGAGTTATCTCGCCCAACCCGACATCCGCATCCGTGGTTTGTTCTTCTTCCCAAACACTCTGCCTCCCATGTGACAGACTGGAACCTCACACACATATGCAGAGTACTTCCCTAAGCACCCTTTTTCGACCTTATCACTGCCCTGCACTGTGTTTCTTACAGACCCCTGAAGCAAAGGCACTTCTCCAAAACCCACACACAAGACAAGGTCAGACAGTAATGCCAGCTCCTCTGCTACTCAGCTGTTCCAAATTACATGATCTTGTGTGGGGATTCAAAGTTTTCTTATTTTAAGCCTCATGTTATCTGATAAAGCTAATATTTTTCATGTTTAGAATGAGCTTTGTTTACTATACATTTGATAAACAAAAGGAGTCCATCAGACATTAGGGGCCACCATAAAAAATACCAACTAGACAGTGTGGTGCCAAGATTAAAAAAAAAAAAAGAAAAAGAAAAAGAAACAAAACTGATTTCTTTTTTACTTTCTTTTTATTTGCTTCTTTTTGTTTGTTTTGAGACTATGTCTCATGTAGCCCAGGTTGGTCTTGAAATCACTATGAGGCTGAGAATGACCTTGGAACTGTCCAGTACTAGGATTAAGGTATGGGTTCCCTTATAGCTGGGGGGAAAAAGCCCGGGTATTTTTATACATACTTGTATTACTTCATAAAGGTGTGATTCAACACTGCCTAAGAAAAGTGAAGGTTTTCCTGTATCTCCTCCATCTTGCATTAGTTCCAAGAAGATATTATTCCGCTCATCATCTTGACGTCTGGGAACCTTAAGATCACAATGTATGAAAAGACATATTAAATTTCTAGTCTGAATTTCAGACATCATTTCCAAACACATACATCCACAAGGTATACTATACCATGGGCATCACTAATTATTAGTTTTTACATGTTAGCTTTATGACTTTTCAAGCTCACCATTCCACATATTCTAACCAGGACCTGTTTATGCTGGATATTAATTATGACTTTTGAATCATCTATGGCCTGCATTCTTTTTAACTATATCATAAAGAGGAACTCCCAACACTTGGTACGAAAAATACACATAAGAGAAAAGACAGTTCACCAACAGTGCTAGGAAAAAAAATCAAACACCCATATGCAGAAGAATAATCTAGATCCCCGCCTCTTGCCTTGTATAAAAACAAATCCAGATCAGATGGAAGAGATTAGTGTAAGGCCGACAGAAAAGCACTTCAAGACACACTCATCAGCAGTGACTTTCTGAACAGAGCTCTAGCAGTTCAAGAAACAACAGCAAGAACTGGCAAACGGGAATGCCTCATTTAAAGGCTTCTGCATGGGAAAAACAAATTCTCTTTGCTACTCATCTGGTTGGAGATTAATATCCAGAATATGTAAAGGATTCAGAATATGAAACACTGAAAGAATAAATAACCCCTAATCAACAAACAGGCAAATGAGCTGGATAGTGGCATTTCAAATGATAAGTACAAATAACCATGAGAGCATGAAGAAATGCTTAACATCTTTAGCCATTGGGGACTGCAAATTAAAACAACATAGACCCAGTCTCACTCCAATTAGAAAAGCTCTCATCAAGGGGGAAAAAAAGACAGGCTTGGGAGGATTCGGGGCAGGGACTGTGCATTTCTTGTGGGAATGGGGAGTGGTAAGAAAGTTCCTTAAAACCTGGGAACAGCACTACCCTCTGATCTAGTTATCACTTCTGATATAAAAATTCAGTCAGCACACAGTAGAGCTAGCCTCCATACCCATGCTGACTACGCCACATCAGCCTAGGTGCCCAGGGATGGATTGGATGGGCATCAAAACTGGAGCACATGCACACAGTGAAGTTTTATTCAGTCATAGGAGAATGAAACAGGCGATCATAATGTTGTGCCAGACTTACCAAGACCAGTGTTCGCTCATAACCGAAAGTTAGGGGAAAAGAAAGGGGACATAAAAGTAAAAGGGGAGCTATTAATGGTTTAGAATGAGGAAAAGGGAAGGGACAGGAAGATGAATGAGGACAATGGAGAGGTTAATATGACCAAAGTATGTTCTTCACATGTATGAAAATGCCAGGGCAGGCCATCATGCTATATAATTGATTTTCTAATAAAACAAATTCATTTTAAACTATGCCCGTCTGTTGTTCTTTTCACATTCATTTATGTGTGTGTATGTATGTATATGAGGGGGAGCACATGTACCACAGAGCACATATAGAGGTCAGAGGACAGCTGGCAGGGACCAGTCTTTCCTTTTACCACGGAGGACCCAGAAATCAAGTACAAGTCATTAGGCTTGGTACAAGTGCCTTGACTCACTGAGTCTTAAAAATTACCAACACTTAATTAAAATAAAGTTTACAATGACATACAGAGCGTAAATGAAATGCTTTAGAGGTTCAGTAAAACTCAATATAATAAATTTTTAAAGAAGTGATTGGACTAATTAATAAGCCTCTACCTCTACAGAATAGTACCACTAATTATTTTAAAGACTTATTTTATGCGTATGTGCATATGCTTGAGTGTATACACGCACATTATATGCATGCAGGTACTCATAGAGGCCAGAAGGGGGTGTCAAATACCCTAAGATTAGAGTTACAGCCTGCAGTGGGTGCTGGGAACTGAACCGGGTCCTCTTCAAGAGCAGCAAGTACTCTTGACCACTGGACAATAGGCCACTATTTTAAAGGAAGCTTTGAGATACACATAAGCTTTTTAAGAAGCTTAACTGTAAACAGAAACAGATGTTCCAGTTGAGAGGCAGTTTAATGGAATCTGAATCGAGATGGTGTGTGTACAGGCCCAGCATCATCCCATCCCAGCCCCATGGCACAATAAGTCACTTAACTCCATAGTGCCTAAGCTTCTTCATCTGCAGATAATAAGAAAGTGTGTGTGTGTGTGTGTGTGTGTGTGTGTGAGAGAGAGAGAGAGAGAGAGAGAGAGAGAGAGAGAGAAGGGGAGGGAGGGAGAGAGGTATTTTGGGTTGTTACAAAGACTGCTGTCTATGTGAAAATAGTAAGAGGAGTCTTTATGAGGAGAATATATTAGAGGAGAGAAAGGAACAGGCACACGAAAAAAAGGAAGGGCGGAAGAATACTGCAGATGACACTGAAGATGAGCGAGGAGGGGAGAGAGCCTTCCTTAAGGTATATGCTTAGAGCATCACACAGCAGCATGCCAAGGAGGAAGTGCACAGGGCAGCGCTTCGCACTACCTCCTCCTCCCCCCCCCCCCTTAGCAAAGTGTCACAGGCCACCTTGGAGGAGTAAAACACTGCAGAATCCCAAATGAAAAATCACTGCTTTTGGTTCTTGCTCCCCACCTCCCAGCCCCCTCCCGCGTGCAAGATGTAAGTAGTTAGAATATTTGAAACTATAAAGACACATCATTGTATCAACAAGAGAATTTTACCATTACCTGTACAGAAAAATACTTCACTTCATCAAACCTAAGTACAAGGTTCCTTTCATTGTTAACAGGTCTCAAGTTCCGAAGTTTTGTGCATTTCACGATGTGGTTTATAGAGATACGAATGAACAGATTAACATGCTGTTGTACAATGACTGAAAATAGAATATTTAGGAAAAAAGTTTTGTTGTAATTGATAAAATAACACGTAAAATTTATTATACAATCCAGGCCAAAATATAAAAATCAATCAAGTACATATAGGAATTAATCTTAAAGTATATTAAACAACGGGAAAAAATCTTCAAAATGACATTTTTGCCTATCATTGTTAGGCACAATGTCAATAGGAGTATTTTCTCTTCTCCTACCTATCATATCTTTATTCTCACCATAATTCCTTTGAAAACTTTCTACACATTCATTTTAAGGTAACTAAGTATACGTAATATACAACTGACATTATTGCCCAGATGTAACTCGTGTGTAGAAGTTTTAATTAATTGATTTTACATACTGTCTGCAGTTTCCCTCCCCCCTCTCCCCTCCCCCCCCCACACACCAGTCCACTCCTCCTCTGTTTCTGTTCAGAAAAGGGCAAGCCTCCCATGGGTGTCAACAAAGCATAGTACATCAAGTTGCAGTGAGTCTAAGCACCTCCCCATGTACTAAGGCTAGGCCAGGCAATCCAGTATGAGGAATAGGTTCCCAAGAGCCAGCCATATCATTAAAGACAAATAAGCATATAAACGAAGAATAACTGAATCTTAAGATAGATTTTACAGCAAGTTTACTAATACTTCTCTATAGATATTTTTGAGAAAAAAAACTCTCTGTATGCAAAAATTAAAAAGAAATACCATAATGGGAGTGGTTTAAAAATAAGAATAGAGGAGTATGGTAGCTCAGACCTTTAATCCCAACACTTGGGAGGCCAAGACTACATAGTCTCAAAGAACCAAAAACAGGGTGCAAATTTCAAATAATTTTTTAAATGTTTAAGTAGACTTATTGCATATAGTCAAATTAGCATCCATGAATATTGAGGTAAATCACAGATGGCCAAATTCTTTTTTATTTTACTTCCGTATTTAAAAGTACAATTTATTTTCACTGTCCTTGAATCTGATAAGGTATTTTGGTCATTTTAACATAAATCCAAAGAATGCAACTGAAAATGGCATTAGGATGGGTGACAGAGACATTCATTCATCAAAGAGTAAGATTTAGGGGAACATGTAGTCAAGGTCTTATTTTAAATGCGTATATTTTGTGAATGGGAAATGGGTTCAGGAAGGTGAGCGAGCAATCAATGAACACAAGCAATCTAAACCATCCCACCCTGCCAAGTCCACCCTTGTGAGCATCCACACTGAAGGGCCAGACACGCCAGTCCCGTATAACTGACAAACTGCTGCAAAGCTAACCCTTGGAAGCAGAAGTTCCACCCCACGGGTGGGCAGAGTGTGTGGTGACCAAATGGTTAGTGTTTCAAGCTGCTATGTTTTCCAGTGGTTAGTGATTCAGAACATAGTAAGTGGCCTTAACAGGGAGGTAGGCTGATACTGTAATCTACAACCAAAAGGATACACCTGTGAGAAAACTGTCTACAACTCTTTATGTGAACAGCCAGGCAGCCGACCTACAACAACCAAAACAAAAACACAAAAGCCGAACACATTTTTTTAAGTTAACTTTCTTACACTTCACATTGAACTGTATTTTTAAATTTTTAAAACACAGTTGTGTCTGATTTTTCACATTAAAAGTACTTTGTTGCTCTTACTAGAATTATGGTTTTTTTTTTGGGGGGGGGGTGGGCCGGGAAGGTGGCTCAGTGATTAAGAGCATATGATACTCTGCAGAGGACTCAAGTTCAGTTCCCAGCATCCACATCAGTTCTGAGGAATATGATGTCCTCTTCTGACCTCCATGGGTACCAGGCACACACATGATGCACATACATACATGTAGGTACTGATGCGTGTGCACACACACACAGAAAAGGCTTCTTAAAATACTGTTTCTTCTTTTAAATTTTTTATTAATTCACTCTCTCCCTCCTCCCCTTTCTCTCCTTTTCACCACCCTACGTGTGTGTGTGTGTGTGTGTGTGTGTGTGTGTGTGTGTGTGTGTGTGGTGTAGACATGTGCATAATAGCATGTGAGTGGTGGTCACAGGGACCTTGGAGGAGTTGGTGCCCTCTTTCCATCATGCAGGTCCTGGGGTTCAAATGCAGGTCATCTGGCAAGTGTCTTTACTCACTGAGCCAACTCACCAGACCAAACAATAAGGGCACATGGAAACTATTACTTCTGAGGTTTGTCAAGGGGCATGGAAGAGTGATGAAGGGGGTCAATTTTCAAACCATGGGTCAATTTGGAAAAAATTATACACACTTGATGAGCTCAACAAAAATACTGGTTCACAGACTCCTCTTTCAGAAGAACACTCAACATTAGCAGATCTTAGGTGGGGCCTCAGATCAATGTCTTACAATTATGTCAGGTGATCTGGGGTCTTTATTATAGAAAACATTGTTTCTGTGAATTAAAATGTTTTCCATTTTGGTGAATTTTGGTGAATACTTAATTGCTTTATGACTCATATAAATAAGTAATGCATGATCATGTTTGTCATAGAGGACTATTTTCTTCACACACTTTTCAACCACCAGATAATAAGTATCAACTGTATTTCATATCAAATTAGAAATAATGAAGGTTACTCATACATACCACATCTCCAAATGGTATCAAATTTGGTGTTTCATGGGTTTCTATCATTTCTTCACTCTGAGACCCTTTAAGAGTTTTTCTTAGGATCTATAATTAAAATAATTTAACACTTTAGAAGAAAAAGTAGAACATAACTAGATAAAATAATATTCCAATTCAATATTTTCTGCGTGTCTAGCAAGTATTTGGTGCTCTAGGCAGTGGCTATAACTATGAATAAGAAACTTGTTCCAATCTTCAATAAGTTTATCAATAGGTAAACAAAGAAATATAAGTGTACATAATTAAATATGGAATTATCAAGGCAATCAGAAAAGAGGAGAAAAGCACATATGCATATGAACAATGGGCAATCTGTTTGTTAATGGGTTGAAGACAAAGCAGGATATATTGAAACTTTTGTATCCAGTATGGCAATCACCTGGACCAGAACTTCTTTTTGGTGGGGCAGGGGTTGAGACAGGGTTTCTCTGTGCAGCTTTGGAGCCTGGCCTGGAACAAGCTCTTGTAGACCAGGCTGGTCTCAAACTCACAGAGGTCCACTGCCTCTGCCTCCCAAATGCTGGGATTAACAGCGTGCGCCACCACCGTCCAACTCAGAACTGCTATTCAAGTATAACTATATCAAGATGAGAGACAAATGAAACACAGGACACATTAGAGAAGGACCTCACAATTTCCAGAGTTCCTGTAAAGAGGGAGATAAAGTACTAATTCTGGCACAAACCTATGGGGACAGAGACAAGAGAACCCATAAGTGGCTGTGGAAAATGGTAGAGAGGAGTAGGGACAATAAAAGAGACAAAATCAAGGAGAAAGTCGATACTACAGAAGTTCTGACTGCAGGTCGTACAACATTGGGGGAGGGAGGACCAGTTGTTGCTTCCTTAGAGGAATACTGCTTCTCTTCTCGGTGAAGAAGACAGAGAAGAAGGGGCTCCCCTGAATACATGGCAGCGAGGAGAAAGAAAGACGTTATGGGGAATTAAGGATATCAGAACAACAAATAAGAGACACCAATCACATTCGCGTTGCCCTTCCCCTCCTATCGCTTAGACCATTTGCATAAACTGCACTTCAATCCGCTTTAAAAGCATAGCATGCTTGAATCCTGTAAAAGGTCACCAGGATAAGAAAAATCAGATCAACTTCATTAACAGTTGCTATAGGAAGAAAAGTGAGAGAGATCTTCTTTGACTGATGTTCACTCTTCTCCCTTTGGAACCCTCCTATGAGGTCCTGCTCTCATGGTCTGTGAAAGGCTTATGAAAGCCGGCGAGGGACAGGAACAATCTTGAGTTCTGCTGCCAACTTTGTTGAAGATGCTCTGTTTTTCCTATTGTGTCTTTCTGGCTTCTTTTCCAAAATTCAGGTGTCCACGGGTATGTAGATATCTGAGTCTTTGGTTCCATTGATCAACCTGTCTGTTTTTATGCCAATACCATTCAGTTTTTGTTACTATAGCTCTGTAGCAGAGCTTGAAATCAGGGATAGGTGATACCTTTGGAAGTTCTTTTCTTGTACAGGATTGTTTAGCTAACTTGGGTTTCTGGGTTTTCCATATGAAGTTAGGAAGTTCAAAGTCTATAAGAATTGTGTTGGAATTTTGAGGGGATTGTGTTTATATAAAGGTTGCTTTTGGAAAAAAAAAGTATGGGAGATCGTTCCATCCTCTGATATCTCCTTCAATTTCCTTCTCCAAATACTTGACTTTTTTTGTTTGGTTTTTCAAGACAGGGTTTCTTTGTATTGCTTTGGAACCTGTCCTGGAACTCACTCTGTAGACCAGGCTGACCTCAAACTCACAGAGATCTGCTTGCTTCTGCCTCCTGAGTGCTTGAACTAAAGGTGTGTGCCACCAATGCCCGGTAAGACTTGTCATACAAGTCTTTTACTTAGTTAAGTTACCCCAAGATATTTTATATTATTTGTGCCTGTTATGAAGGGTGTTCTTTCTTGATTTCTTTCTTGGCCCATTTATCATTTGTATTTTGCATTGTATTTTGTTTTGCATTCCAACCACAGTTCTCCCTCCCACCCCTCCTTCTGCCCACCCACCCCCTACTTAACTTCCCCTTCATCCCACCCTCCATTCACTCCTACATGGTAAGGTCTCCCATGCAGGTTGAACTGAGCCTGGCCCATTAAATTGAGGCAGGACTAAGCCCCTCCCCACCTTTATTAAGGCTGAGCGTGGCACCCCACCATAAGGAATGGGCTCCAACAAGCTAGCTCATGCACTAGGGATGGATACTAGACCTTCAGTCAGGGGCCCCGCCCCTCAGGTAGATCTAGCTACACCACTGTGTCCCACATGCAGACTGGTCCCATGGAGGCTCCACGGCTGTCAGTCTAGAGTTTGTGAGTCCCATGAGCTTGTTCAATTGTCTCTGTAGGTTTCCCCTTTGTGATCTTGGCTTCTCTTGCTCATGTATTCTTTCCTCCCTCTTCAACTGGATTCCCAGAGCTCAGCCTGGTGCTTGGTTGTGGATCTCTGCATCTGGTTCCATCAGTTGCTGAAGGTTCTGTGATGACAGTTGGGATATTCACCAGTCTGCTTACAGGGGAAGGTCAGTCCAGACACCCTCTCCACTACTGCTAGGAGTCTTAGAGGGGGTCACCCTTGTGGATTCCTGGGAGTTTCCCTAGCACCAGGTTTCTCGTTAACCCCGTAGTTGCTCTCTCTTTCAACAGATCTCTTTCACTGTTCCCCCACTTTGTCCCTCTCCTAACTTGATCACCCCATTCTCTCATGTCCTTGGCCCTATCTCTTCCCCTTTACCATCCCCACCCCGAGTTTACCCAGGAGATCTCATCTAATTTCCCTTCCCAGGGCGATCTATGCTTCCCTCTTAGGGTCCTCCTTGTTACCTAGCTTATCTGAAGCTGTGGATTGTAGCCTGAGTACATACTATATTTGTCTTTCTGGGCCTGGGTTAGTTACTTCACTCAGGATGTTTTTTTTCTAGTTCCACCCATTTGCCTGCAAATTTCATGGTGTCATTTTTTTTTTTACAGCTTAGTAATACTCCATTGTGCAAATGTACCACATTTTCTTTATCCATTCTTCAGTTGAGAGGCATCTAGGTTGTTTCGAGTTTCTGACTATTACAAATAATGCTTCTATGAATATAGTTGAACAAATGCCCTTGTGGTATGATTGAGCGTCCTTTAGGTATATGCCCAAGAGTGATATCACTGGGTCTTAAGATAGACTGATTCCCAATTTTCTGGCTGTCCCAGTAGTGGAGGAGTGTTCCCCTTTCTCCACATCCTCTCCAGCATAAGCTGTCCTCAGTATTTTTGATCTTAGCCATTCTGACAGGTGTAAGATGGTATCTCAGAGTCATTTTGATTTGCATTTCCCTGATGATTAAGGATGTTGAGAAATTCCTTAAATGTATTTTGGCCATTGGAGAGAATTCTCTGTTAATTTGGATATCTCTCTCTCTCTCTCTCTCTCTCTCTCTCTCTCTCTCTCTCTCTCTCTCTCTCTCTCCCTCTCTCTCTCTGTCTCTCTCTCCCCCTCTTTCACTCCCCTCCCTCTCTCTTTGACTAAAGGTTTGTCTATCTTGTTGATTTTCTTAAAAAAAAAACAAACTATTTGTTTCATTGATTCTTTGTATTGTTCTCTTTGTTTCTATTTTATTGATTTCAGCCCTCAGTTTGATTATTTCCTGCAGTCTAGTCCTCTTGAATGAGCTTGTTTCTTTTTGCTTTATTGTTTTTAGGTGTGCTGTTGAGTTGTTAGTGGGACCTCTCCGATTTCTTTATGTAAGCTACAAACTTTTTCCTCTTAGCACTGCTTTCATTGTGTCCCATGACTTTAGGTATGTTGTGCATTGGTTTTCATTGAATTCTAGGAAGTCTTTAATCTCTTTCTTATTTCTGCCTGGACTGGGGGTTGGTGAGGATGGAAACAGGAACAGGTGGGGGTGTATAGAGGGAGAGATGACTGGAATTAGGGGGCATTTGGGATGTGAGTGAAAACCTAGTGCCGTGGAAACTGCCTGGAATCTTCAAGAGTGACCCTAGCAAAGGCTCCTAGTAATATGGGATGTGGAGCCTGAGCTGGTCATCTTCTGCAACCAGGCAAGGATTCCAGCAGTGAGACTGGGACACCAAACCAGCCACAAAACCTTGTGGCTGTCCTGCTTGCAGGATGTGCTGGGGTTGTGATGGCACAAAACCTGTGGGAATGGCCAACCAGTGACTGGTCCAGCATGTGCTCCATGCCACAAGAGGGGAGACCATGCCTGATACTACCTGGATGGCCAAGAACCAGAGGTTAAACAGTCCAGACATGAGTGGAGAAAAAATTAAATGACATGATTACTAATGATATTCTGCTATACTCATGGACAGGTGCATAGCCCAACTGTCATCAGAAAAACATCCAGCAACAGACAGGAGCAGATGCAGAGATCCACAGCCAAACACTAGGCAGAGCCACGGGAGCCCCACAGAAGGAGAGGAGCCGGAGGGATCAAGCACACCGTGAGAACACAGTCCCCAGAAACAACTAAGTGGGGCTTATGGGGGATCACAGAGACTGCAGAAACAATCACAGACCATGCATGAGTGCGAGCTAGGTCCTCTGCATGTATGTTATGGTTGTGTACTTTGTGTTCTTATGGGACTCCCAAAGGTGGGAGTAGGGAGTGTCTCCAAGTCTTTTGCCTGCTCTTGGGACCCTTTCCTAGCCCTGCCCAGCCTTGATATGAGTGGTTGTGCCTAGTCTCACTGAAACTTGTTATGCTGACTCGGTGGGTGTCCCTGGGAGCCCTGCTCTTTTTTCAAAGGAAAAGGAAGAAGAGCAGATCAGGGATAAAGGAAAAATAGGGAGGAATGGGAGGAGAGAAGGGAGGGGAAGCTGCAGTTGGGATGCAATGTATGAGAGAATAATAAACAAGAAAAACAGAAACCCATATCAAAAATGAATAGCATTTCAAAGTGCCCAAGGAAGCATGAATTCAAATGAAATGTAATAAAGGCAATGGAAGAGACAGGAATCGAGTGGAGAGAATGAAAATAAGATAGAGAAATAAGTAAAGAGGGCTAAAGCAATGTCTTTGAACTGGAAGGAA